TATACAAGATTCCCTTTATTATTCGTTATATTAACTAGCTCTTGTTTGGGATCATCTTGTTGTTAATGTATCCCCTCTGGCTTTTACGAGGTTTTGTAGAGAGGCTTTAAGGAGCCAGTTTAATGAAAATGTTTCTCAATTCCACTGTAAAATTACTTATATCTAAATTATTCTATTCCATTTAGTTCTTCATCAAAGAAATCACTTCTCGAAATTTCTATTAGCTATTCCTTCCTTTCCTATTTAACTGGCTACTTCTAATCCCTCGATTTTGACTTCTGAGGGTTTATTCAAATAAATGACCCCAAACATATGATGAAAAGTTTACGAGCATGGCTTCAAAAAAATAATTCTTATTCCCATAGCCCTTTTAAGTCTATTTGCCTTCTGGACTTTGATCACATAGTTATAACATGATTCCATCCTCTACCCTGTCCCTCACATTCCTCGGAACCCCTATGTCTGTCTTTCACTGGGCAGGCTAGTATAGGACCATATAACAATCTCTTTCTCATTTCAATCTAGCCAATTCCTTGTAGCATTCCTTATAAAATCCCGAATTTCACTAAGTCTGCTCAAGCAGCAAGCCAACTTTTTGCTGAATCTTTCTCTTCCAATCTCATTTTTACTACGTTCTTTCCAAAAATGTATGTCACGGGATTAACTGGTCTTCCATTTTACATTATTTTTTACATATGAGGCTAGCCTTTTCATTTCATTACAATCACTGGTGTACCAGTGAATGCAATCTTTCCGGCTATCTCATCTGTCCATAAATTCGCAGCCCTACTAGTGATTGTAAGTTGTTTGACCTTGTTCTTGCAACTTGATCATATTGGTAGGAAGACTTAGAGAAACGCACCTAGTGCGGAGTCCATTGTATGCATGATAATTTCCAAATTCGCACCGTGAACGTGGTAAATTCCAAGACGTTTCGGTGGCATCATCAGTGAGTCTTGTCATTCTTAGCACCATACTACAACTCATCAAAGAGACAAGTGAAGCCGATCCTTTGACCAAATGTGTGCTAAACAGTTGTGGTATTTCTCCTGTTCTGGGCTATTCACCTTTCCTATATCTCGTATCACGCTTTCACCATCACACTATTTTTACTTGCATATTTAAATGTAGTGTGGTGTGCCCTTTTGTGCAGCTTTCATGAGAACCCTCTACATTCCACTTTGTCGTTCTCACCCCCCTTCACACTTGTACTGGGAATGTTGATCAGAGTCTGCCATATTGTTACGCAGTCCTCCTTCCCTAGGTCTTCCAAGAGTCTACCTCTTGCCCCGTATGATCCATCTGCTATCTCCCTGTTTCAAGTATTTCACTCGACCTCTGCTACCCCATCTGTGCTCTACTAGGCGTTATTTCCCACACTCGACGTCTGCTTTACTAACTAGAGGCTAAAAACCTCGATTAATTCTCATGGTCAAGCCTTTGCTTTATTGACCACGTCTATGGTAAAACAGGCCTATTTTCAGCCAACTATCTCTAGTCTCCGTCACGTCTATCATCTTTCTATCCGTAATACCAAGTCTATGACTTGCCATGCCCTAGTCTCTTGTATGCCAACCCATAAATGTTGTGGTTCAACCTAATCAAAACAAGCAGGCCGAATTTGGAAATTATTATGCATACAATGGATCCGGACTAGGTGCGTTCCTCTAAGCATTCCTACCAATATGATCAACTTGCGAAAACAAGCTTAAACAAGTTCCATACAACGAAAGGAGACTGCGACCACACAAAAGGGCACCCCATCTTGGTTTTCATATCTCCTAGGGATTCTCTGTTTGTCTTCCATTCTTTTCTCGTTTGTCATTTTGTTCACATTACTCGCAATTTTTCCAGTAAACTCCAGAGCATTCCATCTTGACAACTTATTCATGCTATGCTTTTTGGTCCATTCTATCGATAGCGGCCTCAGCTCCTCGGCCAGTTTCTGGGAAATCGGGCATATAATCGTTTTATCCTCTTGCATCCGATTTTTATTTTCCATACGACCAGACTGCCAAGTGGTCATACATATATTGCATAATTATTATTCGCTGATGAGGAAATATCTTGAAATCTTTCCCCAACATGTTAGTGATTTCGGCCGTTCAATGTGAACTAATTAGTTCTGCTTGTCAGGTTGATCGGTCGGGTTTTTTATTTTTTCCGGAGTCGCTCTATCTCCAAGATATTGTCCTTTTTTTTGAAGATCTCCAGCAGTTATATGAATGCCTTGTTTCCTGATATATTAAAATACATGGATTATATATTGAAGCTCACCCACGGTTCTTTTCCCTCATCCGGCGCCTTCGATCCTTTGAAAAAGTTCATGTAAATTCTTTATTGCTTTCGATAGTCTGTCATTCGATTTCTTTAATTTAAAGCAAATAAATTTCGCCTGTTTATGTATTGCTTCATGTTTATTGTTAGCTTTCAGTCTTCCTCCTTCCCTATGTATTTTCTTCAAATTGTTTGCTGCTGGCGGTCTTACATCTTTTCTTAATAGTGAATTGACGAGCAATTATTAAATAATTGTTTATTTGTTGGTCTCTTTATTCGTATTTATTTCCTTTCAATTCTTTCTCAGAATATTTTTTTTCATATGCATATTGTTTTTTTTCAATCATTACTGTGGCTTTTCCTTTGACTGCTTATAGAACTAATTTGTCACCGTTTTTCAATGCTATACATATCCTTGCTATAATTTTCCTATTCGTAGATTCGTAAAGCACCGAAATTCCTGGGAAATCTCAATTTCAATATTCCATTGTCTGCATGATCATTTCCCAAATTAAACAATGGACGTGGTACATTCCCAAACATTTCGCCGGCATCGTAGTCGGCATCGTCAGTGAGTATCACTATTCTTAGAACCATAGAACAACTCGTCAAAGAGACAAGTGAAGCCGATCCTTGTGACCAAATGTGTGCTAAAAAATTGTGTTATCATCCCTTCTGCCCTGGGTTATTCGCGTTTCCGGTAGCATCCTATCATGCCTTCACTATTACAATTTTTAACGTGTTTATTTAGATATAGTGTGGTGTGCTTCTTTGAGCGACATGAAACCTTCGCACTCCAACTGTCGTTCTCCCTCCCCCCTTCATCATGTGCAGAGAATGTTGATCAGTGTCTGCTTTATTATTATGCAGTCCTCTTTAATAGTCTTATCCCAGTCTCCTTCTAGCTCCGTAAAATCCGTCTGCTCTACCCCTTGTTCACCTATTTCACTCGATTCCTGCCACCATATTTGTCCTACTCGAGGCGTTATTCGCCCTCCCCTGAGTCTGGGTAATTAATTCGAGGCATAAGCCTCTGAGTGTCATGTTCACCTCTTTGCAACATGTACCATGTCTCTGGTACAACAGACCTACCATCAACCAACTAGCTCCGATCACCACCTTTATCCTGTTTCTATCCCTAATATCAAGTCTATGATTTGCCATACCCTAGTCTCTTGTGTGCCAACCCACAAATGTTGTGGTA